TCTCTCTCTCTCTCTCTCTCTCCCTCCCTCCCTCCTTCCCTCTCCCTCTCTCAAAATAAAATAAAAATAAACTTAAAAAAAAAAGAACAGTGTGGAAGAGGTAGAAAAGAGGGATTGACGCACAGACACGTGTATGCACACCGGCACGAACACCTCTGGCAGGACGCCGACGCAGGGCCCTGGCTGCCTCCAGGGAGGGGAGCTGGGAGTCAGGGGCAAGGAAGAGTCTGATTCCACTGTCCCCCGATTACGAACACTCCCAGGCCACTCACCCTTCCTTGTGCATTACAGATAGGGAAACGGAGGCACAGATTTAAAAAACAAAATTCAGGAAAAACACAAGTCGGTGCTCTGAGCCTGGTAGCTGGAATCACAGAGGGCCCGTGACCTTCGAGAGCCGAAGGGCAGGGCTGTTCTCGCTTGATCCACGACCTGGTCTGAACCGAGTCATCACCAAGCCCAGAGGTACCAGTTCACACCTGGAAGCTCGGAGTCTCAACATGGCCTTGCTCACAGGAGATTATGCTTCAGAAGGCAGAGGTGTGAATGTTGCCAGCACAAACATTAAGGGCTGGCACACTGGCCCTCCCGAGGCCGAGCCCGGGGGCCCCATAGCCCATGTTCGTCAGTCCCATGAAGGCAGGGATCTCGTCTGTTTGGACGTGGGTGGGTACTCAGGTGGTATCTGGGGAATGAGTGAGCAAGGCAGCCGAAGTTCAAGTGACCCCAGACCCGGGGCACATGGAGCCCCGATGCACACGCACGCAGAGCAACACTGGCTTCTTCCCTCTCTGAGCCAATGTCTCAGGCTGCCATTTCTCAACTTGTTTTAACCCATGACCTCTCTGGAACAAATTACAGTGTAAATCCCTATCCCCACATTAATATTTCTCTTTTCCAAAGAAATGGGGCAGTGGGTGGGGGGCACATCCCACGATCTGCTTTATCAGATCACGACTGTCCTCTTAGAAGTTTTTAAATGTTGACTTATGGTGTAAGACCATGGATTGAAAAAAACAAATCACCAATCTCCTAAGAGACACACTAAATATATTAAAAAGAAAAAAATACATATATAGCTCACGTACAGAGATCTTGAGGGACTGTCACATGAGTAAAGCAAGTTAAAGGGGCACCTGGGTGGCTCAGTTGGTTGAACCACCGACTCTTGATTTTGGCTCAGGTCATGGTCCCAGGGTCGTGGGGTCAAGCCCCAAGTTGGGCTGCTCGCTGAGCGTGGAGCCTACTTAAGATTCATACTCTCCCTTCTCTCTCTCTCTCTCTGTTCCCGTCCCTCCCCCACTCGCTATCTCTCTTTAAAAAAACAAAACCAAAAGGCAAGGTAAAGACAAAGATGCAGAGTGTGCCATCATCTCTGTTCGTAAGGGGGGAGAACACAGTCCATCGACAGAAGCCGGGTAAAGAAATGACACATCCCCGGCAGGGAGCACCAGAGGCAGCTGGAAGGAGCCTCTCTGGGCTGCACAGCTGGTGGCGAGGAGCACGGGCCTCAGAGCAGCACAAGCCGGGGCTCGAACAGCCGCTCCGCCACCAGGGCGAGCTCACCCCTCCCTCCTCGGGAGACCAGGCACGCTGAGGCGCGGGTGAGCTGCTGCGCACAGGGCACAGCACACAGAAGTGCCGGCCCCAAGGAAGGTGTCAAAGACGCCGGGGGAGGCCTGTCCCATCCACCCTGGCTCACACCGTCCAGCCCCACAGGGAGCCAAGGAACCCCCAGAGATGTAGGAGGTTCTTCAGGGGTAACTGGGGCTCTCCTGCTACCGGACAAGCCCCCGATCCCGTTCCAACTGGGCCAAGACTGCAAGGTTGCGGCACAGAATTCCAGAGAAAAAGCAAGGGCCTCCATCCAGGATACTCCTTAAGGGTTTGCAACATGGTGTCTGGGGCAGAGGGGAGCTGCCACCCACAGCTGGGGCCGCCGTGCTTCCACTCCTCAAAGGAGAGCCCCCAGGGAAACTGACCCCCTTTCCCCAGAGACACGATGAAAAAAATAAAAGCTCCACAGACACCAGCTCATTCCATACTCATCAAGAACACCGGAGGGGGGGGCGGGCATTTCTGATGCGGAAACCGAGGCACAGAGCGGTGGAGTCACTTGTGGGGGTCACACAGCCAGGAGGGGGCCAAGCAGAGACTCGCAGCCAGGCCCCTACACCTCTTCTGGCGCCACGCTACCACTCCCTGCTGACAGTTACAGCTTCCTTCCCAGAGGAGACCCAGGGGGTCACACGGGGCACTCTGGCAGGAAGACTCAGGGGACGAGGGACACAAAGCCGGGAGCCCAGGAGTGGAGTGAAGGCAAGCCGCCCCTTGGGAGTTCTGACAGGATCAGATTTCTGTTTTAAGTCTGCAGCTGCCATGGGCTGCGGACTGGGGGCAGGGAGAAGCAGCATCAGGGGGCTAGGGCTGTCCTCAGGACAAAGTGCCCGGTGGCAGAGGGGACAGAAGAGAGAAAAGGCACCAGCAAGTGCAGTTCCACGGGAGGAGCCCGGCCCAGACGCGTC